TTGCTAGACTTAGTGCTCAGGTTTTGGCGCACATTGACTTCAGGTTGCTTCCTGTCAGTTTTCAGAATAAATGCACAATCAACTTGCGTTGCTAAATGATAAAAACACTTCCTGTGGTGAAGTGAGCATACGATATAAATAAAAAAAGATTAATTTACCACAAAACATAAAAACACACAGATGAGGGACACACCCTGAGGAGGCTTGAAGTTTCTTGTTCGTTCTCTGTATGTGAACAATGCTTTTCTCTTTCTTTCTCTTCCTCTTCTGTGAAGTTAGACTAGGAAGCAGTATTAAGTCACCTTGGCATGTCAGCCAGAGAGACTTAATTTGATTGGTTCAGGAATCAGAGGCCCAGTTTTCTAACTGGTTTAGGTTCTTGTAGCTGTGACAGTGATTTCTGATTGGTTCTTCAGGCGCAGTGGAGAAAGGTTCATGCCCAATCTATAACTTTTGATCAGAAAATCTTGTGAGAATTAAATTTTGTTGGAAGAATGTTCAGTCAAGGGACAGTAACATCAAGTGACATACAGTACAGTTATTATATGTTCTGTACTTGCAAAGACTAAACAGTAGAATTAGAATAGATACTGTATGTACTTAGATACCATATGTATTTTACTGATTGTATTTTGCTGATTATGTGCTTACACCAACTCAGTTCTCATAAGCAGTCAGACTGCAGAGATGCAGACATACTGTATCTATTCCAGGAGTCAGTGATGACGCAGGACTTGCTACGATTGCTAAAGTCTGACTGTATAAATAACTCTCAGGGGGACTGCCCCCCTGAGCATTTTCTTCATGCAACCGTATTGTGTGTATTGAATGCTCCCTTGCTGCAAGAACCCTTATTCACATAAGTGGCCTCGATCTGCTTTGTCTATTGTTTAATAACCCTAACAAATTTCTTCCACCATGCCGAAATAATACATAATCTTAAGCAACAAATTGTTTGACAAGAGACTCACTTGTGGATCATTCTGTGGGAAGAAGAGAATGGTTAACTTTGTAAATACTGTGTAACTTTGAGAATAACAGACAAAAGCAATCAATTATCAGCACACAATCATTAAAATAAAGAAATCAAAGAACAGTTTCTTATGTAACCCTTTGAGCAGTACAGCAGCCTTAGGATGTCAGGATTAACAATATCTCTGGTAATAGTTGATTTGTCAAGCATGGAACATGCATCAGTTTTGGTTCACATTAATGTAACTTCAGGTTTGGAATCATTTCAACTGCTATAAAAAACTTTAAGGAAGATGTTTTTGCAGTGACTAGTTATGTATGTCCATCATCACATTGGCTCAAACATTTTGAAACTTTCTTATAGATATTTCACACAACTCTTGGTTAACAAAGTTCCTAAAGACATTTCTTTATCCAAAAGAGTATGTGTGCCAGCACTGTTCACATTCTCGTGTGAGGATAAGGGAGGTTCTCTTTCATATTCCTGTTTTGTTACCCAGGAAACTGATCAGATAAGAAGAAACCAAATGTCTTGGACTTGTTTGAGTTAATGTGCATTCTAATACAGTAAAGTCACACGAGAGGGGATGAGAGGGGGTTTGGGGTCTCTGGAGACAGGATCTGGGCTCTCCATCTGATAAAGAGAGACAGACAAGAGAGCAGTTTGCATGCGGCAGCCTTATGGCTGGCCCTCAGTGCCTAGGATCAAAGTCTAATGTGTTGTTTATGAATATTCTGAGTCCCTTAGAATAAAACATCCTTCCAAAATGTCTACTTTGGACTTGGGGTCATGACACAGTTTAGATGCAGTTTTTCAGATAGATACTGTATATACAAAGGTGGGCAGGAAGGGGGGGGCGCAGTGGGTAGCGCCGTTGCCTCACAGTGAGAAGGTTCCAGGTTCACGACCTTTCTGTTCTCCCCGCGCTTGCCTGGGTTCTCTCCGGGTACTCCGGCTTCCTCCCACTGTCCAAAGACATGCGGCTTAGGTTGATTGTGGTGACTCTGAATTGCCCGTAGGAGTGAATGTGTGTGTGTGGTTGTTTGTCTGCGTGTTGGCCCTGCAATGGACTGGCGACCTGTCCAGGGTGTACCCTGCTTTTCACCCGATGCCGGCTGGGATTGGTGCCACTCCCCCCACGACCCCGTTTCGGGACTAAGCGGTATAGAAAATGAGATGAGATGAGCGATATACAAAGGTGTAATTTACAGGTGCTGCACTGAGGGTTGTTGTTCTATTAAAACAGTCATGGGCTAAGTGTTAATCAGAGCAACAGCCCAGGGGAGGAAACTAACTTTGTGTCTGGTTGTTTTGGTGTACAGTGACCTGTAGCGCCATCCAGAAGGGAGGAGTTCAGTTTGTATCCAGGGTGTGAGGGGTCTGCAGAAATCTCTGTCTAGCCCTCTTTTTTACCCGTGAGGTGTACAGGTTCTCCATGGTGGGCAGGCTGGCACCGATGATTGTTGTAGACAGTCCTGACTGTCCGCTGGAGTCTGTTCCTGTCTTGTTTGGTTGCTGAACCAAACCAGACAGTGATGGAGGTGCAGAGAACAAACTTGACGATTCTTCTGTATCAGCAGCTCCTGGGGCAGGTCGAACCTCCTGAGCTGGTACCGGAGGTACATCCTCTGCTGTGTCTTCTTGGTGATGGCACTGATGTTGGACGATCACTTCGGGTCCTGGGAGATAGTGGAGCCCAGGATCTTGAAGGACTCTACTGCCGATACAGCCCTACTAAGTATTGTAGTGGAAACAAATTCAGTATGTGCTGCAGTAACTTGTGTGTGCAGCATGTGGAAGACATTTTCAGAGATGTGTGCTACATGTGAAGGACACTCCCAGGTTTATGAGATATGACAGAAGAAGTGTGCCCTTATAAGACGTTAAAACGGTTCTTACCAAGTATGTGAAACCAGTGTTAACTAGGTTTCAACTGGCAGACACTCAACATGTAGCCACAGAATGTCCTTTTCAAGGACATATCCTCCCTCTTTCCCCTTCATGTTTTGTATAAGTAGGGTGTGAGACACACTGAGTTTTGAGCTTCTCTGACAGATTGCTTGTGATTGTTTGCTCCTTCTTGAAAGAATAAAATTCACAAAGACAGATCTGTCTAAAGTCCTCTTTATTTCAATTTTCACCTGAGGTTAAAGGAATTTTTCAGCAACAAACTTGGTGTCAGAAGCTGGATCCCTTGAGCGATCATCTGGGATGGGCCGTGGGCAGTGACTGGCCATCCTGGAAACCAAATTCTTCAGCATCCAAACCTCCAGACAAATTAATAGATGAGAGGCCTGACCTCTGGTGCCCTGGACTGCTGCCGCCAGGATCCATCAAACTCAAGAAATATATTAATGTGACCCGGTGAGTATTGGGAAATAAATTAGCATAGAATTAAATCAGGATCTCAAAGGTAAAAAAAGTAAAGACAAAAAAAGGGAAAAGAAAAGACAAAAAAGGAGGAAAATACATCAACTTATTTTCTGACCCCATTCATTCCACTTCAGTTGAGTCTGGGACCCACATAGCCTGGGGCTGAACATAAAGTAGTCTAGGGCTATTGCCTTTTTTTTCTGTTTGAGGCGTAGATGACACCAAACCATACAGAGACGTCTGTATTGTAATAGTCGTGCACAACCTCCATCCTGGATGTGGAACAAAGGAACAAAGGTGGTTGGACCTCCTGAGAGTGCAATGGTAGATATAATGAGAGAGAAGTACTGTATGGTGATGAAAGTGTACACTGTCTGAATGAATGGACAAAAGAGTTTGATTTTCCACATGGGGGATCATTAAGTACACAAAAAATAGAACATCTCAGAAAAAAAAAAATACAAAAGAGAACACGTTAAAGAAAAGGAAAAGATTTCAACAAAAGACAGAGAAGGTTAAGAAGCATAAAAAGTGTTTGAATATGTGGAAGAAAGAAGCCGAACGCAGGGAAAGAAGGTAAATGCAGAAGGAAATGACATGTTCACAGGAAAAAGAAGGTGATACTTTAAGGAAAACTGAATAATGAGAAAACACCCCACTCGCAGACCTTTTCTCTGTATCCACAGTTAACTGCTCTGAAGCTGGACTCTGATCTTGATGCCTGCCTGCATGCCAACTGCTTCTCCTCCATATCGCTCTTCAGATGTGACTTCCAGCATGGGTCCAGGTCTTCCATGTGAAACCTCTATGTCGCCCAGGTCTGTCATTTGTGGCAATGTAACATACCCACCAAGGAACTTCTTAGGGGCCAGGGAGGAAGGATGAAGAGTCAGAGACATCCTTCACATCTGCTGATGTGGTACATAATATGCCAGTGGTCACAGTTGCAGGGGCAGAGGGTCCAATTCTGGTGTTCCAGTCCCCAGAGACAGACAAGGACATGGTAGAGGTAGAGGGTGATTCCAGCCGATATCTGATGCCTGTTTCCAGTGTGGTCAGTATGGACACTGGGCACATGAGTGCCCACGAAGGGCTGAGGTTGTTCCAGAACCCAAAGTGTTCATCAGTGTGATAGCCTGGGGGAAGAAACTGTCCTTGTGTCTGTTTTTTTTTTGGTGTACAGTGACCTGGGCAACTTCACACAACAACAACAACCCTGAAAAGTCTGATTTATTGAAGTTCCTTGAATTGCTCTTTGTCTGGTCTCTCTCCTGTTCCTAATTTGTCTTGGGAGACCCTACCAAGGGTTACTGCCCCATACAACATGGGCTCACTGGAACATACAGTAAACCCCTCCACAACATTATGGTGGGAATTCTTGGAGAGGGTTTTCATCTCTCATTTGAAAGCAAAAATGTCATAAGCATTAGCCAACACTGAAGACCAAAATCAATATTAGCACTAATAAATTCTGGAAAAACTTTCCATTTTCTCATTGTTTGTTTTTACATTTATGAAGTCAAATCCATTTCTGATGAAGCTGCAACATTTTTAGATTTTATGATATTTCAGAAATTTGTATGATTCTCTTGATATCTGGAAGCAAATGTGGCTGATGTTATTATGGATTTTTGAGTGTTGTCCATTGGTTTACCCATAGATGCAGGAGATGTCAATGACCACGTCAATCATGTCACAGCACAGTTCATATGTCTGCATGTCCACCGGACTGCTGTCTGTGGCGATGTAAATCTTACTGACCACATCAAACAGGAAGGCCTTCTCAATTCCTGAATTCTGAAAACAGATTCAGAGACAGAGAACAGAGAAACTCAGTTCAAGTCATTAATTTTACAATGCCAAGTTCAGTAAGAGCTTTCAGTGATTATCCTCTCTGTGCAAAGCACATGATTTGATAGACACCATTCTGCCACTAACTTCATGGACAGATGGTCTTTGATACTTGCATCTGCTAGTGAGGAAACAGCATCAACTTACATTATCAAATGAAATAAGATAGTAACAAACACAAAATTACCATTTTTACTCATTTAGAAAAATAGGTTTAATGACAACAAAACATGCAGACGGGGCTACTACAGGCCAGAGGATATGAGCAAAAACAAATTAATTATAAAAAATACTACATGTGCCTGAATGACTCTCACTGTCTGTGAACTTGAATACTCACTATCAGATATTTTCAAGCTAAAGTATTCAACTACAATTACCACTTTGCAGTTGTATTTGTAAACAAATTCACAGGTATGGGACAAAAGTGAGGTCACTGACCTTTGACCACCAAAATCTAAGAAATTCCCTCAAGGTGTTCCTGAGATGTCATGATCACAACAGTGGAAAAGACATAAGGTCAAAGTGAACTTTTGTCCTTTGACCACCAAAATCTGAGTTCATCCCTGAGTCCAAGTAAACATTTGTACCAAATTTGAAGAAACTTCACTCTCATTTCTCTGTGCTTCTTCACTGTCTTGGCCGCCACTCAAGAATTTTCTTATGCCCATCTACAGGAGTCAGTAATGTTTGAATTGCTCTAATGCCTATGCTTGAACTCAAATATCTGAAGTACCAGAAATGTGTTTTGTAGCTCCACCATCCTCTATGAACAGTAACAGATGCTGTCTGTAGAAAAATGCAGGGTTTCATTCATTCAACAGGACAAATATTATCCAACAATTAAACACAATCTCTAAAAAAGAGTTGCACAGATTTGTCCAAATGAAAACCTATTAATTATTGAACAAACCTCATAATCCACACACAATATAATCACGGTTTAAAGCAAAGCCTGACCGCAGGGCTTTTTCTTTACTTCTGGGCTATGTTTTGGATATGCATGGGGTACTGTACCTGTGAGCGTCACCTACCGACATTATACCGTTACACATGCCATGCTGCAGGGATGCACAATCTCAGCAAAGTGGTCACTTATCGCGTCAGAGAGTGACACACTGAATGCCTACATCTGTAGCTACTTTTCAGACCACTTTAGTGATTTATTTTCAACTTTTTGGACAGATTTTAACTACCTCATCTGGAGGAGAGATGCCAGAACTGAGAGAGCAGTCACTTGCCAGGTGTAGGAACACCCCTCTCACCTTCTATTCTGGTCAGTGATTGGATATGAGAAGAGGAGAGGAGCAGAGCCAGAGCGTTCAATCGACTGCACTGCCATAAGCAGAGACATGAATGAGCTGCACATGTGCATGCCAGAGTTCCCAGTGTTTCATCAACATTTTTCTCATAGTAAGGTAAAGAAATAGTCATAAAATTCATACAGGTAAAAAGTTAGCCTCTCTATAATTCCATTAATGAGAATTGCTTTTATGTGTCTTTTTTCCATACAAGCTTAGCCTTTCATATTGGCATAATTAAATATTAAATTTACAGATTGCCGACTGGTCGATCTACATTCCGACTCCCACCTATGGTCATAAGCTTTGGGTCATGACTGAAAGGGCAAGATCCCGGATACAGGCGGCCAAAATGAGCTTTCTCCGCAGGGTGGCCAGGCGCATCCTCAGAGATAGGGTGAGGAGCTCGGTCACCTGGGAGGAGCTCAGAGTAGAACCGCTGCTCCTTCCACATCGCTTCATTTCTACTCACTCTTGGTGTAGTAAGGCACTTTTGGGAAGACAGACTAAACACGCATCAAAATCACGCCACAAAGTTGTGCCTGGTGGAAAACAGGGGTTGCACTTCTGGTTAGATGCTAAACTGTATTTCATTGCCTTGTACATGTGTAATGACAATAAAGCTGAATCTAATCTAATCTACTCTAGAGGAGAGCTCAGATTTTATCTCATTCATTCAAGCAATCAGACTGAAACTGAAGTGGCGTGGCAATATTAGACCCTATTGCTAGAGAAATCTGAATGTCATCTACAAAAAAATTCAAAAAGAATCCATATTTCTCTAATACAAGCCCCAGAGGTAGAAGATTAAAAAAAATAAATAAATAAACCGAGAACTGACCCCTGGGGGACCCCACAAGTTAAAGGGACAGTGGAAGAAAAACAATTTCCAATATTTACAGGAAAACTCTTGTTTAAAAGGTAAGATATGAACCACCTTAAAACAATGCCCTAGGCACTGTATAAAGTAAGATGAGGATTTCATGATCCACTGTATTCCCCCACACCCCCAATTTATGTCTCCTCTCTCCTGTAGTACGCTGCTTTCTCTCCTCTCCTCTCCATCCATCTATATGCCACCACTACCCATCACTAACCATGTGTCTCCTCTTTCCTGTAGTGTGTCCTCTCTCTCTCCCTGTACCTTTCTGCAGGTAGCCCTGGCTCTGGAGGTCTACGTTTCTGATGAGCAGTCACCGGCCACATCAACCTTCTGAGTGTTTGATTGATTGTTGTGTCTTGTTGCTTTTCTTCTTTTCTCTCTCCTCTATCCACTCACCCCAACCGGTCGAGGCAGAAGGCCGCCCACCAAGAGCCGGGGTCTGTCTGGGGTTTCTTCTGTTAAAGGGAGTTTTTCCTCCCCACTGTCACCAAGTGCTTGCTCAAGGGGGAATTCATTGGGTTTTCCTCTAGCTAAAGTGCATTTAGATTATTTTTGTTGCAAATTGGTGCCATACAAATAAAACTGAATTGAATTGAATTAGCTGCCTGTTAACACTTGTTTGTCGACTTGTTCATCACACAGCAGGTAGAACTTCATTCCGTGAAAAGACTGTGACTATATTCATCAAAAACATGTACAACAACAGTCAAAAAGTGGAGTATCCAAGTACTTTTGTCATAGGATAAATTAGTACCTTTGGCATTTCATGTAATGCAACTAGTATCACCATTATGTGTCACTACCATCTACTGACTGGACCATAAAGTACAAGAGGACATACACATGCAATACACAGTACAGTGCTTATTAAAATATGTGTCAAATACAGAAGCACACTGTTATAAAGTTTCCATAGATACTGGATTAGTTCTTGGTTCATTCAGTAGCAATGCTTGGTTTGCAGTAGACAGGCCCAAATGCATTTTCTGTGTTCTGTGTGAAGTGTCAGCCTTATTGTGTGCCACAACAGCAGGATTACTTACAGATATGAAGATGTTGAGCAGATTTTCCAGTGTTGGCAGCTGTGGGATGAGCTTCTGGACCACTTTACTGAAAGCCTCAAATATGGAGTGGTCGTATATACTGGTCAAGTAAAAGCTGTCAGGGAGGTCAATGAGAAGAATCCGAATCAGACTGAAGACAGCACTTCATTGACAATCTACATTACATTTTTTTCTCCAGTAACTTTATGTGGATATAGATGGAAAGCAGGACCAATGAGCACAGCTGTGGCTCAGGAGGCAGAGCAGGTCATCCTCTAACTGTAGGCTTGGTGGTTTGATTCCTGGCTTTAACAGGACACATGTAGAACCCAGCTCAACCACACGTTGCTCTCGACGGCTACTGCCGTGTGTGTGAACGATTTTATAGTGTCAGTGTGTGAATGGGCAAAATTTTGTAAATCACTTTGGGTATGCTTAATGTATAGAAAAACACTCTCCTGTATGAGACGTTTACAAAGAGAACTGTCACCAATCACAAGATTGACATTTCAAGCTCTTCAGACACATTTCTAGATAGTATTACAATTCCTGTTGAAATTTTAAAAAACCTTGCAATCATATTTAGTTATGGCCAGTGAAAGAAATTATTTTGTTTAGAACTCTATTTTTTACATTTTTGAAATACTAGTACACATACAATAATACCAAAACAATACTTTTTGTGTAACCTTATGACAAAACTCTTTTTATTTAAAAAGCCAAACCTCTCAAATGATGACTACTGTATCATAATAATAATAATAATAAAAATTACTAATACAAAAAAATTGAAAAGTGGAAATGCCATTACACCTAAAAGAAATATTCCCATGCCATTAGATTATGGTCAAACTCTTATAATGTAATTCCTTGACCATGAAAACATGAACAATATTGGCACCCCTGCATTTCTGTCAGATAACACACCACTTCTCCCAGAAATTTTTTGCAGTCACAAATTATTTGATATTCTCATTTTTATTTCTTTTGTTTGCATTGGAATAATGCAAAAAGCAGAGAAAAAGCCAAATCCATTCCACACAGAACTCTAAAAACGAACTGGACAGAATTATTGACACCTATTGACATCAGATGTCACCTGCCTCAATGATTACCGCCCTGTTGCTCTGACACCAGTAATCATGAAGTGCTTTGAGATGATCATTCTAAAGCACATCAAGGACATCATCCCTGTTGGTCTGGACAGCCATCAGTTTGCCTACAGAGAGAACCGATCAACAGAGGATGCTGTCTCAATAGCACTACACATTACATTACATTACAGAAACATCTGTGCCAAGTACAGGCTGGAAGTCCCAAAGTCAAAATGGGATACACCTCCAAAGGTGGCTGAGAATGACCAAGCTAAGATCCTATGGGACTTCCAGATAAAAAATGACAAACTGGTAATGGCCAACCAACCGGACATAGCAGTGGACAAACAGAAAAAGAAGGCTGTAGTGATAGATGTAGCAATCCCAAGCGATAGCAACATCAGGAAGAAGGAACACGAGCAGCTCGAGAAATACCAAGGGCTGAAAGAAGAGCTAGAAAAGATGTGGAAGGTGAAGGCACAGGTGGTCCCCGTGGTAATAATTGATTCTATAATAATTGATAAAAAGTCAGGGGTTTCACCCCCTAGACCCCCATCCAAGGCGCTGGCCCAGGACCCCTCAAGACTTGCTTTTGCAATTTTGCTGTCCAGTGCCTGTGTATGTGAGAGCCCCCTTATGGCGAAAGTGTACAGCTGTGCTGTAGAGCATTTGGAGTGAAGACGAAAAACTCTAACAAGTGTAGCAAGAGGCATGTTGCTCTAAAGACTCTAAAGTGCACAGCAAAATGGAATGAGTTGTGTGCATCTATGAAACACACAACTCACATTGTTATTTCAGTCAGCATGGGACATTTATTTATCTGTTTGTGACGTTTTGTAATCAGTCATCTATCATTTTTCTTGAATATCTATCAAACTAATTATGATATCACTCTGATTCCAAATGGTACGGATAGTGTTTCATAGTCAAGAAATCACATTATGAGGGTCAAACTATTATGGGAATATTACTTTTAGGTCTAATGGCATTATGGCTAAACTGAGTTGCCTTGGTGAAGGTTTGCACTCTGAGTGCTGTCTACTTTGAAATGTGTCTGTATTGCAGTATGTATTTGAAACCAAAATCCCCCAAAAGCTACAGCCCACCTCAGGTGAATTTGTTCCAGGCCTGCATCTGCAAGGTCATCATTGGCTCGTTTGTGAATGTCCCTCTGCTTCTCAATCTTGTGGTCATCTGACAAGCCGTCCACTTTGTGAATGAACACCTCAAAGTTGATGTCTGGATTTACTTTGTAGGCTCTAGTCACTGTGAGATGCAGTCTACTCAGAGCCTCCACGTAGTCATCCTGTCAAAAGGAAAAGAAAAGATTCACACTACCAGTACTAGTGACTACTTAGTTACTTCAGTTGACAATGATAAATGTTTTTAGCTGAATCTTTCAGTGATAACTAAAACTGTCTGTTCAATACTGTTCAATAATCTCTGTACATATGTATATCACTTGATAAGCAACAACAGATTTGATACCAACTGTAGTTGACAGCAAATTACTGCCCAGAATGAAGAGAAAAAGACAAATTGCACCAGAACAAGCCACATAAAGATGAAATTTGTACCTTATTACCACTGCCAAGGGCAGGTGCTATGTTTTGTCAGTGTTTGTTTGATGTTAATGGCATAAGTCGAAAAGTAATGAAAGGACTGTGATGAAATTTTATGGAGAGGTAGGGTATCAGCCACACCGTTGTGCCGCCCATTATACTGTATATTGGCAGTTCAAATAAGCCACAATTTAAATCTTGCATCATATTAAACTGTCTGTTATTGATTTTTCAATGGTCAGGAAAATATTGTAATTTGAACACCTACAGTATGTTAATTTAAAAAAAAAAAAAAGTTTATTTATATAGCACAGGAGCACAAAGTGCTTCACAAGAGGACACTAATAAAAGACAATCATAAAACAAAAACCTAAACAAAAAAAAGCTCAGTTTCGGCCCGAAGCTCTGGCGGTAGGGAGTTCCAAAGCCTGGGGCCATACACGGAAAAAGAGCGTTCTCCCCATTTTTTGTACCTAGCCCGAGGAACAACCAGGGACAGGTGTTCTGAGGAGCGCAGGGTTTTGTGGGGCACATAGACAGAGAGAAGATCCGAAATGTATGGCGGAGCAAGGCCATTCATGGCCTTAAAAACAAATAGTAGTACTTTGAAGTTAATTCTATACTGTATTGGCAGTACAGAAAATAATCACAAACTGCTCTGTGTTTGTGTGTGTATAGATACACAAATACATATATACAGTGCCTTGCGAAAGTATTCGGCCCCCTTGAACTTTGCGACCTTTTGCCACATTTCAGGCTTCAAACATAAAGATATAAAACTGTAATTTTTTGTGAAGAATCAACAACAAGTGGGACACAATCATGAAGTGGAACGAAATTTATTGGATATTTCAAACTTTTTTAACAAATAAAAAACTGAAAAACTGGGCGTGCAAAATTATTTAGCCCCTTTACTTTCAGTGCAGCAAACGCTCTCCAGAAGTTCAGTGAGGATCTCTGAATGATCCAATGTTGACCTAAATGACTAATGATGATAAATAGAATCCACCTGTGTGTAATCAAGTCTCCATATAAATGCACCTGCACTGTGATAGTCTCAGAGGTCCGTTTAAAGCGCAAAGAGCATCATGAAGAACAAGGAACACACCAGGCAGGTCCAAGATACTGTTGTGGAGAAGTTTAAAGCCGGATTTGGATACAAAAAGATTTCCCAAGCTTTAAACATCCCAAGGAGCACTGTGCAAGCAATAATATTGAAATGGAAGGAGTATCAGACCACTGCAAATCTACCAAGACCTGGCCGTCCCTCTAAACCTTCAGCTCATACAAGGAGAAGACTGATCAGAGATGCAGCCAAGAGGCCCATGATCACTCTGGATGAACTGCAGAGATCTACAGCTGAGGTGGGAGACTCTGTCCATAGGACAACAATCAGTCATATACTGCACAAATCTGGCCGGACAGGGAAGATGGTTCAAATTGATGGGAAGATGGATGGAGCCAAATACAGGACCATTTTGGAAGGAAACCTGATGGAGTCTGCAAAAGACCTGAGACTGGGACGGAGATTTGTCTTCCAACAAGACAATGATCCAAAACATAAAGCAAAATCTACAATGGAATGGTTCACAAATAAACATATCCAGGTGTTAGAATGGCCAAGTCAAAGTCCAGACCTGAATCCAATCGAGAATCTGTGGAACGAACTGAAAACTGCTGTTCACAAACGCTCTCTATCCAACCTCACTGAGCTCGAGCTGTTTTGCAGGAGGAATGGGCAAAAATTTCAGTCTCTTGATGTGCAAAACTGATAGAGACATACCCCAAGCGATTTACAGCTGTAATCGCAGCAAAAGGTGGCGCTACAAAGTATTAACTTAAGGGGGCTGAATAATTTTGCACGCCCAATTTTTCAGTTTTTTATTTGTTAAAAACGTTTGAAATATCCAATAAATTTCGTTCCACTTCATGATTGTGTCCCACTTGTTGTTGATTCTTCACAAAAAATTACAGTTTTATATCTTTATGTTTGAAGCCTGAAATGTGGCAAAAGGTCGCAAAGTTCAAGGGGGCCGAATACTTTCGCAAGGCACTGTATATATATATATATGAACTACAACCCCAGCAGCACATTCCTGGATGTGATACCTCATCAATTTTATTCTTTGTTCAAAATAAACACACACTTCAATTCTGATGCTGCAACACATCCCAAAAAAAGTTGGGACAGTAAAGCATGCACCACGATGTGATGTTGCGCTTCCTTTTCACAACACTTCAGATGTTTAGGGACTGAGGACACCAAGTGATTCAGTGTGTCAGGTGTAATTTTGGAGTCTTAAGGTGCACAACAGTCCTGGGTCTTTGTTGACGCAGTTTGTGTTTCAAAATGTGCCACATATTCTCCATTGGGGACAGGTGGGGACTGCAGGCAGGTCAGTCCAGCCTTTTCCTCCACATCCTCCACAGCCAGGCCTTGGTACTGTGGCAGTATGAGGTTTTGCATTGTCTTGTTGAAATATGCATGGCATGGGCGTCCCTAGATGTCGTCTTGAAGGCAGCATATGTTGCTCCAACATCTCTCTGTATTGTTCAGCATTAACGTTGCCATCACAGAAGTGGAAGTGACCTTTGCCAAGGGCACTGACACAACCCCAGATCATGACAGACCCTGGCTTTTGGACTTGTTGCTGGTAACAGTCTGGATGGTCCTTTAGTCTTTGGTCAAAAACACATGGCGTCCATTCCTTCCAAAACAGACCTGAACTACTGATTCATCTGACCATAGTACACATTTCCACTGTGTGATGGTCCATCCCAGATGCCTCAGAGTCCAGAGCAGTTGACTTCTGGACACTGTTGACATAGGGCTTCCTTTTGGCACAGAACAGTTTTAAACAGCATTTATGGATATAAATATGTATTGTAGTGCCTGACACAGGTGTGCCAAAGTCATCCTGAGCCCATGTGGTTATATCGTTTATAGTTCCTCTCCTTAATTATTATGGGACTAAAATTTTTTATTACGTGTAACAGTGCTCAGTATTGCCATTATTTATTGGGAATTACACTCACTTGCTAAAACTGACTTGTGGAAACTGAAAATGCTGAATGTTGCTGAACAAATGATGGAGTGAAACTGAAATAACAATAGCAGTACAAATAGCGCTTATTGGCGTAATGGTTCTGAGCAGTCAGTAAAATTCAAAACTGAAAATCCTCTGTACCCATCCCTGCTCAAATGTCAGTTCCTGCTGCTGAGCCCACACCATAATGCTGAATTAAAATCCCACTCCTGGTCCTACACCTGCCATGCTAATGTGAGCAGCAAACTGGTTGTTACCCTGCTGACCTGAAGCAGTGGCTGCAGTGCAGATATTACTTTTGAATAATTTTTTTATCATTTCAACAGGGTCATACTAAATCCTTAAGCACATAATACAGGAACAATTACTTATACATTATTACTCTGTGGCCTGACCTGTGAGTCAATGACAAAAATTAGCGCTCCAGTGCCTCTGAAGATCATTTCATAATCAAAGGTAGGATCAAAGAAGTCGATCTGGCCGGGGAAGTCCCAGATCTGGAAGCTGACAAAGGAGCTGCTGGAGACCTCCTCCCTGCAGATCTTGTTGGTGCTCTCGAGGAAGAGGGTTTCGTTGGGTGACATTTTATGAAAAACCACCTTCTGGATGGAGGACTTCCCACTTCTTCGCAAGCCCATCAACAGGATACGAGGTTTGACCTCTCCATTCAGATAATCGCTGAATCCTAACATTAAATAACAACAAAGAGACAGAGGCACAATAATTAGGTGGGTAAACTTACATTAGGCAATCATCTATGATAACACACTCACAGGTTAATTGATAATCCAACTTTGACTTCCAGGCAGTGATAAAGGAGGAGGGAGTTTTCACTGACCCCAACAAGTCACAGAGCGCTGGCTCTGCTTTGTCTCACTGGAGACAACTCTGTTCACACCTTTCTGCCCCATCCCCCTACAGCCAGATGTGGACATAAGAGACATGGTTTGCTTCAACCCAGACAGTTTTATGCAGATGCCCCCCTCACACCTCACTTCCCCCCACCCTCCTCCTACACAAGGCGAGATAACAGCACATAGGAACAGCCATCTGTCTCAACAGATGATCACTCTCTTTTGAATAAAGACATATTCTGACCTTCCCAACTGACCCCAGAGCCAGTAAGTCTTAGAAATGCAAATGACACAGGACTGCTTATCTGCTTTTGACTCTCATTAAACCCCTGTCTTAGCATTTTCTGCTTCTCTCTTTTTATAACAGTAAAAATGTTCTTAGATTTGAGAATGTGAACTTATGTTTGTCAAGAGTGGTGTGGAATGTTTAAAAGAGTTTAGAAATGTTTAGGTAGAAGCTGATAAATCTGCAAGTACCTGATTAATGCAGTCACTGCACAAAAGACTCTTGTTCTAATTCTCTTACTCTTCTAACAATGAAAATGTTATCGTAAACTTGAAAATACAAAATCTATTATCCAAAGTATGTAAACTGAATTTATTCAAAAGGCTACAATTGAGTTTATGAAGTTTGGTATAAGCCTGCCTATTGTACCAAATGAAGATACAGGAAAGACCAACTAACTAACTAACCTTAGATGGACCAGTAGCAACCACCTGGTAATTGAAAGTGGATACTGTATTTCTGGTGAAGTAGCCTTTACAAACAAGGATTATGTTATTCATCGTGACAAATTCTAACTTTTCCATAGTAGTGCTAAACATCACAGTTTAGAAACTTAAGTGTATTTTCATGTCTATTTTATAACTAACTGTACTAATAACCAACTGTTAGCATCTACAGTATATCTTTTAACTTAAAGGTTTCTTTCTTTGTTTCCAATATAATATTCCATGGTGCTTGTGTAATGTTAGACTGGGTTTGTCATGGCTGCTCTCTCCCTCTCTCTTTCTTTCTTCCCTGGCAATCTGAGCTAGGCGCGGGTGTGGCAGTCAGGCACAGCTGTGACTACTTTCCTCATTAGTCCTCATCCTACTGGCAGGGGAAGGTATCTGCTTTGCCAGTTTGTTGTAGATCCTGCCAACCTGTCACTTGGCCAACCACTGCTGGTGCTTTGAGAGTATTTCTCTACTACCCATTGCCTGCTTACTGTCAGTTTGTTCCTGGTTTCTCAGTGATGCCATCCTGCTCAACTTACCTGTTTGTTCCTGACTCCCCAGTGACACTGTCAACCCTCCAGTCCTGTTCGACTTACCTGCCAGTTCCTGATTTCCTCAGCGACACTGTTGATCCTCTTGTCCTGCTTGGCTACTTGCCTCCTCCCAGTTCTCCAGTGATGCTGCCAACCCACCTGACCTGCCTCGCCTTGCTGCCGTATCCTGGTGGCTCAGTATCATCATCAATTTAGCAGCATCAGCCCACTCCATTGCCAGGTGCTGACCACCCAGCAATGCCATCATGTCTCCAGTCCTGCTCTACATCCCAGCCTGTCTTTGCCCTCTAACGTACCGCCATCTAGACTGCACTGTCTGATTTCCATGCCTGGCTCCAACTGCTCTTTGTAGCCATCTGTGCTCTGTTTTCCCACTGGGCCTTAACTACCCTCCATTATTCTGCCAGCCTTACTCTCCTCTACCTGGTTTCAAGGGCCCATCGATGCTGTAAGTCTCCCAGCCTAATATAGTGAACCCTCTCTACTCCTATAGCCTTGCTACACCTCATACCACCCTCGTCATTCTGAAGTATTGCTTTCCAATAAAATGTCTGATTGTCCAGAATCCGTGTCTAGCCTTCTGAGTCCCTCTCTCACATTCTCTAACCTGCTGGACCCAGTGTTGCTTAGATTTTGTGTTTAAGTGAGATTTATCCTACATTATAGTCATATACAATAAATGTGAATTTCAAATGCCAGCCATGGTGGGAAAGAAAGTTATAAGCCATATATAAACCCCAATTCCAATGAAGTTGAGGCATTGTGTAAAATGTAAATTAAAAACAGAATACAATTGTTAGGGTTTAGTCCACCTCACCAGGAGGGTGAGGGAGAACTAAGGTAGGACTCAAGATTGCTGACCCAGGTGCTAGAAAAAGGTGGTTTAATGGGGAAAATACAAAGTAACAAAAAAACACGTATCATAGTCCATGTACATAAATCAGCAAAGTAGGGCAGAGATGGTGGAGGAGACCAGAACGAACAGGTGAGCAGAGCAGACTAACGGTAGGAACCAGGAGAGTAGGAGGATCAGGACGGACAGGGGAATAGACAAGCTAACCAGGAGGATAGGCGAACGAAAAAGGAAATCCACAGCACAGGAACTGTCAGCGTGGACGTCTAGAGACGTGTAACACAAAACATGTAACCAACATACAAAATGAGATCCACAGCACAGGAACTGTCAGCGTGGATATCAAAAAGAACATCTGGCTAACCATGAATATAGGTATAAGTCTGTTATGGGGTATGCAAGTTAATGCTCCGGCGACAACGGGGCTTCTGCCAGAGGTTAAAATAAGAAAGGACACTAGTCATTACAGTAACGCACCTCAGCTGTGCGCGACAAACCACGAGTCACTAATTGCAACAAGCGAGACAGCTGAGGTGCTGATCCCACAAAAAGCGCGAGCAGGAGAGAGAAAGGCAAAAGAGAGGCAGGTCGCGGCGAGCGGAACTGACAACAATGACTTGCAAATGCTTTTTGACCCAAATTTAATTGAATACACCACAAAGACAAGACATTTAATGTTCAAACTGATAAACTTTGTTTTGTTTTTTTCAAATATTCACTCATTTTGAATTTGATGCCTGCAACACGTTCCAAAAGAGCTGGGACAGGAGCAACAAAAGACTGGGAAAGTTGAGGAATGCTAAAAAAAAAAAACACCTGTTTGGAACATTCCACAGGTAAAAAAGTTTATTGGAAACAGATGAGCATCATGATTGGGTATAAAAGGAGCATCCCAGAAGGCTCAGTCATTCATAAGCAAGGATGGGGAACGGTTCACCACTTTGTGAACAAATGTGTGAGCAAATAGTCCAACATTTTAAGAACAACATTTCTCAACATACAATTGCAAGGAATTTAGGTATTTCATCATCTACAGTTGCCATCCAAGTTGCCCCCGATGGTTAGAGCCATCAGCTGAGTTGGGGCCACAAATGGCTGCCTTGGTTCTGTACCGGAAACAAATTCCTTGTCTGTGTGTAACATACTTGGCCAAATAAAGGTGATTATCCTTATCCTTTGGGATGACTGTAGTTCAGTGGGTAGAGTAGTTGTCTCCCAACTGGAGGGTCGGAGGTTCGAATCTCGGTGCCTGCAGTCCACATGTCGAAGTGTCCTTGGGCAAGACACTGAACTCCCAAGTTGCCCCCAATGGTTAGAGCCATCAGTGTGAGTTGGCGCTGCAAATGGCTGCCTCGGTTCTGTACCGGAAACAAATTCCTTGTGTGTATAAAGGTGATTACATACAGTCCATAATATCATAAAAAGATTCAGAGAATCTGGAGAAATTTCCTAAAGAGGAAAAGGACCATCCAGATCATTATCAGCACAAAGTTCAAAAGCCAGCATCTGTGATGGTATGGGGTGTGTTAGTGCCCATGGCATGGGTAACTTGCACATCCATGAAGGCACCATTACTGCTGAACATACAGTTCATACAGTTTTTGGAGCAAAATATGCTGCCATCCAAGCAACGTCTTTTTCAGGGACGTCCCTGCTGATTTCAGCAAGACAATACCAAGCCACATTCTGCACGTTACAACAGTGTGGCTTCATAGTAAAAGAGTCCAGGTACTAGACTGGCCTGTCTGCAGTCCAGACCTGTCTCCCATTGAAAATGTGTGGCGCATTATGAAGCGCAAAATACGACAACACAGACCCCAGACTGTTGAGCAATTGAGGTCGTACATCAAGCAAGAATGGGAAAGAATTCCAGCTACAAAGCTTCAACAATTAGTGTCCTCAGTTCCCAAAGGCTTATTAAGTGTTAAAAGGAAACATGATGTGACACCGTGGTAAAAAATACCCCTGTCCCTTTTAGAATGTGTTGCAGGCATCAAATTCAAAATGAGTGAATATTTGCAAAAAAAAAAAACAAAATTTATCAGTTTGAACATTAAATGCAGTATCTTGTCTTTGTGGTGTATTCAATTAAATATGGATCAAAAAGGATTTGCAAGTCATTGTATTCTGTTTTTATTTACATTTTACACAATGTCCAACTTCATTGGAATTGGGGTTTGTAAGTTAAACCAAGATTTATTTCTCATAAAATCTCAACCTACAGGTGCACACAGAGATTGGGAATGAACCATTCCACAGCATATTTCTAAAAGAATCAATCAGGAAAGTGTTTTCAAATCAACAGATTCCCAGCCAATCAGAGGACTCCAGCTTGCAGACTCCCAACCAATTAGGCAAAGCCAAGCGCTCAAGCCGCCAACTACTTCCCTGCAGCCCAGATGAACCCTGGAACTCTAGCCCATTGCTCCACTCCGAATCCAAGAAAGGGTTTGACTGCAGACCTTCCTCCGCCTGGCCATGTGTAACTCCAGAGCTAACTGTGGCTAGCAGCTAAGTAATCTATCTTGTGGCTAAAGCTTTATGTCTCATCATTATCATATCTCTTAAAAGCCCATAATTCCCAGAAATTTAGGAATCTCTTCTTCTCCAAACTGTTGCTTAAATCCTAGAATCTAACATGATCTAAGCATAATTTTAAATAATTTTGCACAATCCCTAACAATTAGCTGATTCATTCATTGATCAAATCCATTCATCCCTTTTGTTATGCTGTACGGTGTTATGCACATCACATCCCAATTCCCTTTTCTTTATTGAAAATGTGTAAATAAACCTATATAGAATACTGTATATATCTGGCCTTCTTATGTCACCTTATGTCTCTTTTATCTTAGTAAATAAGTCAATGACCTGAAGATTCATTACGTTCAGATGAGACTGAGTAAATTAATTGCTTATTAGTGTGTTCCACAAACAAAAACCTGGTGCCTTTATTATTATGAGGTAATAATATTAATATTCATAAAAGTTGTTAAAATCTGATACAATAGTAAGTTTTTTGGCATGTTTTTTCACTACACATGCCAGGACCTGCGCCTACCTCTCGCCACTGCTCTCATATGCACTTCGTGTTCAGGCACCTTCACAGTTACAACTTAAGCACTGGGGTTCACATATAGTTAAGAGCCTTTCCAGCACTCACAATGGTGACGAATCTTTTAAATATTCCTGTATCCAAATTATCAAGGTCAAAGTGTTTATTTGTCATATGCACAGTTAGGAAATGTGTTTCCCTGTACAATGAAATTCTTACTTTGCCGTCCACATGAATGCCACATAATGCAAGTGAAATATAAAGTAGATGAGCAATAACACAAATCTAAATAGGCAGTAAAATCACAAATCTAAGGCACTTTAAAGCAGCAAGTGAAGGAAGCAAATAAAAATACAACAAGAACACAATATAATGCAGAGAGAAATATATACTACGTGGGACCCATGGAGTGCAAATACTCAGCAGTGAGTGTGCAATTATACATATGCAAAATGAGTATGTAAACAGTATAGATGGAATTATGAGGTAGATCCTGAGTCAGCTGTTTAGGAGTCTAATGGCCGGAAGGAAAGAGTCTTTCAGTCTAGAAGTCCTGCATTTCACACTTCTGAGCCTCTGACCGGAGGGCAGGGGTATGAACAGTCTGTGCTAGGGGTGGGTGGGGTCCTTGAGGATGGAGGCAGCTTTCCTACGCACCCTGCGGTGGTAAATGCTCTGCAGAGAGGGCAGTGGAGTGCTGGTCAAGATGCTCTTGACGATGCAACCTCTGCAGGTGCTTGTGGTCTATAGCAGTAGTGCTGCCATACCAGACAGTGATGCAGCTGGTCAAGATGCTCTCAATGATGCAGCTGTAGAAGTTGCAAAGCATCCTAGGCGACATGCCAAACCTCCTCAGCCTCCTCAGGAAGTACAGCCGCCGTTGGGCCTGCTTGACCAGCTGTGTGGTGTTAAGTATCCAAAGGTATTTGAAGCTGCTCACCCTCTCCACTTCAAGCCCCTGGATGAACAGTGGCTGATGAGATCTCCTCTCCTTCCTCATGTCCACTATCATCTCCTTCGTCTTGTCCGTATTGAGGCTGAGATTATTATCCTTGCACCATGACACCAGACCGGCCACCTCCCTCCTGTAGGCTGCTTCATCCCCGCCAGTGATGAGACCTATCACTGCGGTGTCGTCCGCAAACTTTAGGATGATGTTGTCTTTGTAGAAGGTGACACAGTCATGGGTGAACAGGGTGTAGAGGATGGGACTGAGGACACATCCCTGTGGGGTGCCAATGTTTGTGATAATGCTGGTTGAAGTCCTATTGCCATTCCTGCCAGTCTGGGGCCTGCCAGGCAGAAAGTCCAGAAGCCAGTCACAGAGGGTTGGGTGCAGACCCAGTGTGGACAGTTTGTGGGTGAGTTTGTGGGGGACAACTGTGTTGAAGGCGGAGCTATAGTCAATGAAGAGTATCCTGATGTAAGAGTCCCCATTTTCCAGGTGAGAAAGGGAACAGTGGAGGGCAGCCACGATGGCGTCTGAGGTGGCCCTGTTGGGCCGGTAGGCATACTGCAGGGGGTCCAGGGTGTCAAGTATACTATTACACTATATTATGACAGTGATCCAGCACAAGCATCTAGTCAACTGCGAGCCATACCCTATCTCTCTGAAAAATGTAATCAAAATCCATTCATTACCTTTTGAGTTATGCTCTTAACAAAGAAACAAACCAACAAATGCCAGAAAAAATGTTTGTTTATATAGCAACAGAGTATAAATGCCCCCTTTTTGTGTAAAAATGGGCGCAGCCTAAAACACCCCCTTCCATCCTGCAACCCCCCCACCCACTTCTGGAGATGTGTTAGGTTTTCCACATCCTTCCTTCTTCCTTTTACATCTAGGTATTAGTTTTTCACATCAAAGTTTTTCATGCTTAACCAATCCTTTTTCCTGTGCTTTCACACTTTAGCTGTTTTTATAACCATAATTACCTAGATAACATTACTTTCTTGTCTACATTGAAGTGTTTTCACACCAATGGCAACTGGATTGACACCCCTATATTTTGATGCAAGGTGATTTATGGTTTTGGGGTAAGTGTAGGGGGGAAGGTTTCTCCTCACAGTCAGGGTTTAGTGTAGGAATGTTCCCCTCCAAATACCTATAGGTGTAAGGACTAAAAGAGAATTTCTGTATTTAAATATTTTAAAATTCAAATAAAAATTCATTTTTGTAATTAAATAAATATTAAATTAATAAGAGGGCTAGGAAAATTACATTAATTTTGTGATTAATGTGAATGGTTTATGCATTTCAAAAATGTATGGTATTATGCAGCATTTGTTAGTTTTTTTTTTTACTTCCTGTGGCTATGCGCTAATGCTTCTGCCATCTTCCCACACATCATAAGGATATTGCTTGCTCATGCTAGTTATGGATAAGAAAAAAGAGACTGTTTTCAATAGAAAATTCTAATTTAAAAAGTTACCGGATGGTGCTTTGGAAAAACTAAAGTAATGTGCATGTTTTACAAAGCCAAATTTAATTATCACCCATGTATTTCATCACCCAGTGCTACCCGGTGAGACAATAGGGACACTCTGCCAGGCTACTGGTGTGTTCCGGTGTGGTATTCGAGGTGGACCATTATCCAAACAAACAAATGACAAAGTAAGAGAGAGACTTTAGCTAAACTGTAAAGGCAGCATTGTACTTGATTGTGTACTAAAGTAAAGCTGGGAGGTGAGGTGACACAGGGCAGGAAGTATTTAACCAAAATAAAAGCTTTCAAAACCGGAAGCGGAGCTAAACCATGTCATAAATGGAAATTTCGTGCCTTTGCAACCATAAATCCAAGTGAGCTCTTTGGTCAATAAATGAACATTACTTTCAGATTCAGTTTTTAAATATATGCTGTAATGCCAGAGAATGAGTATGCATTATCTGCACACTGTAAGTTTATGAGGCTAAAAATAGCACTCATGTATTTTCCTTTGTTAAACCCATTTTATCATATGATTAACAACTTTATTGTCAGTGGTTAAAGGCATTTAAGACTGAACTACAGGGACACCTGTCTTAAATTGAGTATAATCTTTGAATTATTTCACCTTATTTATTTGATACAGGATGAAAATGCTGCTCTATGAATTTACACACATTAGCAAGCTCAGCATAATGCCTCAACAAACTCTGCACTGTGAATAATATTAATCTGAAGAATAACATAACTGACAAGGTAGGTTTTTCTACTGAAATAAAATGCTTTCTGTTAAAATAATATGACCAAAATAGAACAAAGGCATCACTCTATTATTTTAAACATAACATAGCTTGTCCACAGCATGCCATAGTATATATACTATAGCTCATTGATTTTCATGCTGTACACTGAGACAATATTACATATTTCACTAATCATAACTCATCTCAGCATTTAAAATGTAGCATTGTTTATATTCAGAATTTATATTAGTCAAACTAGATTTATTTTATATCATGCGTGCAGCATGATATTTGCGTTCATTTCCCTAGCTGTGTTGTTGTGAAGTACTTTGGCATGATTCTTTTCAGTTTGGGGGGCACTGTGCAGCAACAGTGTCCCTGTGTCCCTGGCTAGGATTAAATGCGGAGTGCTGCCAAAGTTAGCCAGAAAAAGCACTACGTGTGGTTCTTTTTACACAAATAATTAGCTTCTTATTAATATATGGTTTATTATTTCACAGAACCTGGGGTTTAATTTACATTTTACATTAATTTCAAATGTGCCACCCCTCTCTGAGTCTGTGCCCTAGCCTGGGCACTCCGTCCAAAATGTTCTAGATCCGCCCCTGTTTCAACACAAAATGTTCTGTTGTATACATTTTTCAATCTGTTCACTCTATCAGCTGTCACGCATACGTTTAAATAAGACGCAACAGGTCAATTTCAACACTTAAGTTAAGTAAAGACACTAGAAGGTAACTTAATGTTACAGTTTGTTACTGGAGTAAGAGGTGAGATGTAATATAGGAACTGTCACTTGGTATTAATATAGGCGACGTCTCACTAACGTGATCACCTCTGTAACCAACTTTTAGAACTGACGCAGAAGGAAAAACATTAATCGGCTTCAGGTCGCTGAGCAGAGGACGGGTTAGCTAAAGTTAGGCGCAGTACGTGCACGGACACTTCCAACAGTATATAGAGCGCAGCCCGAGTGAACGTGCATCGTGTCCCTCGCTGCCTACCTCCGTCTTCAGAGCAAAGCTCGGTGTTTGAAAACGCTTCCAGGTCGTCCTCGTTGTCGTAATACCCCAGAGCCGCGTCCCCTTCGTCCTGCCGACTTAGCGGTGCAGATCTCCCACACCCCATTCCGATTTCTTCTCCTGTCGCCATGGTTTTGTTTCGGGTTTAAGCTGCGTGTGGTGTCCACATTTCCCACACTGTCACCTGATACGTTGGAGCCATGCTGGTGCGCACCCCCGCCTCCAGACCGATACACTGCAGCTACGGTCGGAATGAATGTAATGACAAAATTGGTCTCATTAAAAATACATTCAAGACAACCAGCGAAGCTTGTAAATAGTTTGCTGCCAAAATAACCATCCCTGTTTGATGAATAGTCTATCTCTCCTAAAATATAATAGGCCAAATCTTCCCATCATAGGTAAAGTGACAGACAGTAGGCGACATTACCTTTCTGTTACATTAAACAGAGAAACTCGAGGTCCTGAATCCTAGAGGCCATACAGTTCTTTAAAATACAGAAGTTAAAAGAGAGCTAAATAATGAATGCTTTTTTTATTAACGTGGAACAAATTAAATGCGGAATACTGTACAAACAATTACAATGTTAATGTTCAAACTTGAAGATTTTTACACAGGTAGCAGTAGGACTGCAAAATAGAAATAAGACACAAAATAATATCTCCTTTTTTTTTCTATAGTCAAATTTTCCTCTTGAAAGTCCACCTCCCATCAATGCTTTTGGATGGGGGTTCAGTATACAGTATTTGAGGTGAAAGCTCAGTGTGTTTGCACTTTGGGCTGCTAAACTTGGCAGAATACTACAGCAGTGCACGTTGCTATGGTTCATGCATCTATATCTACTCCCACTGAACAGCCGTGTTCCACGCATACTGGTACTTTATGTATGAAAGCCCTGTCAGGCTGGTGGAAGAAAAGTTACATGCTTAACAAATACCAAGCTGCGTGTGTCAGTATCTCTGTCTCCTCTAGCCAGCCCATACTATTGACAGTCTGCAGCAATGACATCCAACTTCATGTCTGAGCACTTTTCTTAATTTGGGGATTGTCTTGTTTGTTGTAGGCCTATCAGAAGCTTGTGCAACCAGCAGCTTCACAAACTCTGTTTTGTTTGTGGCACTACCTCCGTTCTCCACAGGAACAACAGCTTTTTCAATATTGGTGAGCATTATACATGGACCATATATGGTTAATCATCAGAATGTTTTGGGAGGTAAATGCAGCTCACCAAGGTGTGCACATTCTCAACGTGATTGTGATTTATACAAGAAAACATGGAAGTGTGAATGCACAGTTTTATAAATCAGATTTTTTTTATTTTAATTTATTTTTTTCATATGAGATGTGTTTTGTGTGCATATAAACTTTTAGCATGAATCCTAAACACTGTTTTATAAATGAGGTCCCTTAAACAAATTTTCAGATTGAACTAACTCAAATGTCCATAATTACTGACTAAATCAGTCACAGTTGTAGCCCTGGTCCTGTCTCTGCCCCATGTTTTCCTGGGCCTGTTATCTTCTAGAGACTGCCATTCCCCATCCACTCTGCAGTTGTCTGTGGATTTTCCCTCCAACTCTGCCCTTAACAACTGCCACTCAGTGTCTCATTATCCAATTCTGACGCTGACACACACAGCACACCTGTAGCCTCTTACGTATTCAGCTTCCTTAGTATATAAGCTTGTTTCTTTCTTCTGTTTTTTTCTTTATTTGCCTGATGTGCTTCTCATAGGTTTTGTGCTTACCAGCCTTAAAAATACAGGTGGCAATTATGATTAACCCTAACCAGCAGATGTCACCATATATGACTGTATCAGATGCTTTGAAACACTGAACCATTCAGCACAATTGCTTCATATTGATTCTGTGGTTCAGAAAGCTTCGGTTTCTCCATCACTACAGATCCAGAACATCAAGAGTGATGTGAACAGACGGGGTGTGGTGAGCAGACATAACAAGCACAATGAACCAGCAAGAGGCTGATGGAAAGGAGGAGAATATATACACAGGCAGCCAAGGGATAACAAGGGACAGGTGAATGCAATGAGTGTTGACTGTAAACGGGAGTAAACCTGGGGCAGGTGAGGTGAGACAGAACAGGAAGTCCTTACAAAACAAAAGCAAGGCAGCAAGTTTCACACCATGACAAAGAAGGAGAGCAGAAATAGTGAAAACCCTACTGTTAACTTTGAAGAAGAAACTGAGCTTGGTGCCAACCAACCAGAAAACACCCCAGCCTTGTTAAAACGTTTGATCCTTGAAACAACCTAAGATGACAGACCAACTCAAGTCCATCTAGCCAATCACTAACCTTATAGCTTTAAACCCAATAGTTAGAATTCTATTAACCCGATTATATGTTACTGTTAGGTATTTTTAGTCAGATAGATATTGGTTAGATACTTTATGTATTAGAAATGTTTAGTGGAGACAGGATGTCTAGTTAGACTGTTAAATGCTTAGTCATGCTTATGAGTTTCTACAGGGTACATCTGGTCAAGGATAACTAGAGAGAAGAGTTGATGACTGTCAGCAGACAGGATGTTTAATATTATTATTATGACGTGTATACTGTAACTGTAGCCTTAGCCATAATATGTTCTTATGTTTGAGTCATGACATGTTACTAGAGGTCGTGAGAATGTTTTTAGCTACACACCACTTAACCAACAGACACACACACATTGATTTGCTTCATGTTTTGACTACTGCTATGACCAGCTGCAAAGCTGGTAACAGAGACGTCTCGGTTGACGTTTCTGTGTAGTATGGGGCTAGCCCAACCGAGGGGATATAATGTATAGGCCTGGTTG